GAGAAATATTTCCCTTAGTAGGAGACTTTGAAATTGAAGGAGTTGTTGGGTGAGTTCGAGTCTGTATTTAGTGAGGAGCTGGGTTGTTTGAAGGTTTTCAAGGTAAAATTACTGGTGGACAGAACTCCTCGATTTTGTAAAGCTCATCCAGTGCCTTATGCATTGAAGGAAAGAATTTGGGTAGCACCTATAGTACCTGTACCAAAAGATAATGGTGGAGCTATTCAGATTTGTGGAGACTACAAGCAGACCATAAATATTGCTACCCCTTGTGACACCTATCCAATACCAAGAACTGAAGATTTATTTCTTACATTGCAGGGCGGTGAGAATTTTATCAAACTTGATTTAAGTCATGCTTATCAGCAACTGGAATTGGATGAGGAAACACGAGAGTTGCTCACGATAAACACCCATAGTGCATAGTGCTACTGGAATCTTTCAAAGAGAAAGATGAACAAAAGTTTAAAGTTTTGCAAAGTGTGAGTGGATGACATTTTGGGTTCAGAGATTAATAACACTATCTTGTGAACCTGCAGAAGATATTGTCTGCACTGGACAAAGCAGCTCTAAAATTAAAAAGAAACAAATGTCAATTTCTTCTTCCAGAGGTGACATATCTTGGATTTAGTATTTGCAAAGAAGGTGTAGCTCCTTGACTGAAAAGGTGACTGCTATACAGGAGGTCCCTGCCTCCAAGAATGTAACAGAGTTGAAAGCCCATCTTGGAGCCTTAAATTATTACAACAATCATTTGCTCAAATTATCTACTGTAATGGAGCCCCTTCATCAATTGTGAAAGAAGAAAATAACTTGGAATTGGAGGGGGGGTCAGAAGAGGGCCTTTAAAAAACAAAGAAAATGCTTGTGTTCACTGCCTCTGCTGACACATTTTGACCTCTCAAAGCCAATTCTGATGCATGTGGATGCTTCCTCTATGGAGTAGGGGCGGTAATGGTACATTGGATAAAAAATGGAATGGAGAAACCAATGTGTTACATATCTTGAACCCTGTCTGCCTCCAAAAGGAATTATGCCCACTTAGAAAAAGAAGGCTTGGCACTGGTGTTTGCAGTTAAAAGGCTCCACCAGTATTTGTACATGTTACAGTTTTTTGGGTATATACCACATATAACTAGTGAGCGAGTCAGAATGACTTATTTCCCTTTATAGTCGACCAATAGAAGGTTGACCAATTGGAAGCCACACAACACGGTATTCGTCGTGTATAAAGGCGGCCATCTTCTTTTCCTCTACCGGAAGGACCAAAGGCGACCAGGAGAAGGATGAACTACTGCTGTGATATCCACTGCGAACCTAAAGTACGCTTTCCTACTGTCTCCGAAATATTCACTGCCAACCTCTGGATTCTATACTCGAGGATCACCGTCATGAAAATGTCTAACAGTACAGGAATTTCTTCACGCTATATGGAGACCACAAGCCACTGCTAGGACTGTTTACTGAGAACAAACCAATTCCTTGTCTTGCTGCTTCTTGAGTACAATGTTCGGCATTATTTTTAGCAGTTTATAACAACAGGTTGGAGTACCAAGCCGGTGTGTTCAACGGTCAGGCTGTCTCAGTTGTCTTCCAGTAGTGTCCCGAGAAGAGGATCATTCTTTCATCACGGACAGAATGAACATGATAGATTTGGTTGATTCTCCAGTAATGGTGGCTGAAGTTCAAGTGGAGACTAGAAAGGACCCGATTTTGGGCAGGGTACATGAAGTGATATTGAATGGATGGAGGAACATTGCTTCGCATGCAGAATGGAAACCTTACTTCATTAGGCAAGAGAAGTTGAGTTGTAAGGATGGTGCAATACTGTGGGGAGTCGAGTTGTCATTCCTGCCAAGTTAAGGGTAAAGCTATTGCAGGAGCTCTATCAGACACACATTGGAATTGTACGCATTAAAGCTTTTGCTCGAAGCTATGTGTGGTGACCAAACTTGAACTCACTAGGTCAAAGCAAACTAGATCAAGCACCCATTAATTGCTGGGAATATCCTAGTCAACCTGGGGAAAGGATTCATGCAGATTTTGTTTGTCCCATTAATGGACATATGTTTATGATTGTCGTGGACGCTTATTCAAAATGGACAGAGATATGCATAATGAATACATCTACTGCCCTACCCACAATAGAGAAGCTGAGAGGGGTATTTGCCACACATGGCCTGCTGGTATTGTTAGTGAGTGATAATGGCCCGTGTTTTACCAGTGATGAATTCAAGTGGTTCCTGGAATCAAATGGTATCCGACAAATGTTCACTGCTCCGTATCATCCCTCCTCCAATGCACAGGCTGAGTGTATAGTGTGCAGGTTCAAACTGGCATTGAAGATGTTAAGAATGGAAGAGAAAGCTGATTCCTATTCGCTTTTAGAACCACTCCTCATACAGCAATAGGTGTTTCTCCTGCTGAGTTGATGTTTAAACAGCAGTTACAAACTGCTTTTCATCTACTTTTCATCCCAATGCATATCACCGAATTCAGGATTATCAGGCCAGTATGGAACAGTGATCAGTTCCCTGTATTAATTCAAGGTGGATGATTGCATATTGCTATGGAATTTTGGAGCTGGGGAGCAGTGGATGGAGGGCATCATTACCAGACAATTGGGATCTGTAAATTATGAAGTGGGAGTGGGTGGAGGCTTGGTGAGGTGACATGTGGATCAACTGGTGAGACTGATCTCCCGCTCTCCCACCAAGATTGCAGTGACAGTTGTGCCCAATGTGCCACTGGTAGAGGTACCTGAACTGCCTGAGGTTCCGGAAACCCTTGAAGCATCAGGAGTGTCGGCTTACTCTCCAGTGAATGATGCAGTGATTTCTCCAGGCTAAACTGAAATGTCTAATGCTACTGAGATGCCTGAGGTTCAGCAGTTGGTCTGAATTTGGAAATCACCATCTAGGTTTGGGGACTGGGTAGCAAAGTAAAATTTGGAGGTGTTGTGAATTACAATATTTATTGATATTTATCTATTTATATATTTAGGAAAAACCTAATTATTTTGGACAGACTTGTAAAAGATTGGCACTTTGACTAATCAGCAGTCCTAGCAAATAGTCACTACAGATGGCCATGCTGCTCTAGTGGAAGCAAGGTGACAACTACATATTGTGCTGTAGAAACCAAAATACACAAAAATATTTGTCAATAATTCCTGATATTTTAAAGAAACCAAACAGTGGGTGTTAGCTAGAAAATCATAAAGGGTACCTCGATATGGTGTAATGGTTGTCTCACTAGATCGATTATGACTGAGTAGTGAGTTTGGTCCTCATTGTGTGTCCCATACTTTCAGTTTTATCCCACATCTAAGTTATGCTTAGAAAATCACCAAACGGTAGATATTAGCATAGCTAGGTCTTGGTTAATGCATATTAACTATGGTGTGAAATAAATTGGAAGGAGAACGAAAGGATAAAATGAGTTACATAAACTTATTTTCTTTTTTGCCAGTGGGCTATACTGTAGAAGGAAAAATGAAGGAAGATGAAGACGGGAGGAATTTGTGAAGTGAATGGGAGAATGAGTTGCATTATGGGCAACTGGTTAGGGGGAATAAAAGGTATGATAAAAGAAGCTCTTATCTTCTTATGTCACGTGGGTGAAGTAATGGATGTGAGAAGTGGAGGTGAGGAAGAGGAAGCAAAGAAATAGAAGAGTGTGAGTGGCACTGTGTATTATTTCTTTTTATTTTTTTTAGTCAGATTTTAAGTGATGGGCATGAACTCTACCACTCTGAAAGAGGAGGAATTTTTTGTGAGAGGTTATATATTCGTCTATTTCTTTCTTTCAGTCATTCTTTTTTTCTACTGTTCCTTTTCTTTTTTATGCCATTTTCCTGCTAAAAAGTGAGGTTTACAGGAACATGTAACATCACAAGTGAGTATTAACAACTCTCTATTTTTTCCTTTTACTCTTTCAAATCATACAGATTTCAGGTAGCCCTGCATAGTTCAGAGCTGTCAACCAATGAACTAAAGGGTGTTGGTGAAAGTGCACAGCCTGTGGTTGTGGTGATGTGAAAGAATTGGGTTTTGCAGCTTAAAACTTGCTCTATCCAACAGTATTATTGTGTTCCATGTATCTGTTATAATTTCCATGGAAATAAATTAGAGATATTACTTTTGATCATTCCTTATTTGCTTCTTAAAAAGAAGAGTGTATTTTCAAAATTTATTAAAAAAGTGACCATATCTAGTATTGGTTGAAGAAAAAGTAATTTTCTGTATTCTTTTATTTTACATATTTTCTAAAGGAAGACACTATTATCAAAAGTGGTAAAATTTTGAGTAACCCACTGTATATTAACACATTTTTGTTTAATTACATTATTTTTACATTGTCTACATTTTTTCTGATATTAAATTTCGAATATGGTCTTAGGCAAGATATTATTTCAGCTGCAATAAAATAATAGGAGAGATGTACTTATTTAATATTTGTTTAAAGGGAAATTCCTATTGAGAGGTAGTTTAATAGTAATATATTGAGCTTGAAATCAGAGCTATCCTTTGTGATTGATTGTTTCACAATGTAATATTTAGTCATCAGACCAAATAGAATGATAAAAGAATGTCAAGTTTTTCATTATGTTTTATTCCTTCAGTTAATTTATGAATGAGGCAAAAATCAGTAACTTTGAAATTTTCAAAATTAGGGTAAAACCCAACTTTATCAAAACTGTCTTAAAATTAATCCAATATCTTATTCACAATTTTCTAAGGATTCCCAACAAAGTACATACAGATAAAGTTATTGTTTTGTATCTCACCAAACTTCTACAATTGTAATATTTTCCACAATAAAAAAGAATCTTGCTTGACAGTTGCATGAGTATTCATGGAATGGTTGCAAAAAGTTAAATGCATCAAGAATATTCTTCTTTCTCTTTATTAGTTCCACTAAGTGTCTCATTTAAAAAATTTTTTTCTTTTTTTTTTTCCGTTTGTTTTTAAAGGATTCTAGCTGGACCATACTGTAGCATGATTTTAGCAGACATGGGAGCAGAAGTTATTAAAGTGGAGAAACCAGGTAATCTCACCTTTTTATTATAAAATAATAAAGGAATGAAAAATTGAAATAAGAACTATAAGAGCAATCACATATGTAAGTTCACAACTAAAATAATATCAGAATACTCATAATTATAATAGCAATAACAGTACTGATATTTTGAAGACTTTGAAATAATGTTGATAACAGAAAAAATTAGATCCACAATAATATTAATATAATAATTATTTACAATAATCATGAATAACAATACTGATTTTAATGATTATAGTTGTATCACTGGTGATTTAAAAATAACAGTGGTAGCCCAAAACAATTTTCAATTTAAATCAATTGATAATATTTTATGAATATAAAAACTTGAATGCAAACAAGAAAGAAACATAAAAATAATGATTAAGTCAATAAAATTGTTTATAGTAATGATTAAAAAATGCATCACCAAGTAAAAAGAAAAGGGGAAGAGAAAAACATTTATTTGAGTTATTCTTAGATGATAAAAAATTTGAAACACAGGATCAAAAGAATACAAAATTTCTATATCATTAGTGAATTTAATAAAATTTGGTGCATATGACAGTCTATGAGGAACTCTTTGGTAGACCTAGCATAGAAATAAATATCATGGGAGACACTAATAAAGAAAGACAAATGACAGCAGCAGCCATGAGCAAGAAGGTAAGGTAAGTTTAAGGCAACAAGTTCTCCACATAGAATTTTCTTATAGGACAATAGCTTAGTGAATAAAAGCATTGGTTTATGAATATGGTGGCATATTGTGAATTTAATTCCTGGGCAGGACAGTGTGTACCTGAGCTCAGTGGAAACTGAGTAATACTAAAAATAAGAACTGGACAAATATACTTAGACATGGGCGGTGGAACTAGAACGATCTACCTCTGTAGATTAAATAAATGGTTCAGCTTGGAATTCCCTGAAAGTTGCTTGGATCCATATACACCTGACAAAAGCCGGAGGGCTCAATGGGTGAAACATTATGATAACAACAACAAAGACGAGGACAATAGTCCAAATGTAAATAAAGTCTTAAATTGTATTATAAACACTTGTCATATTTAAACATTACTATAATAATTAATAATAAATATTAAAATATACTTTGAAAAATTTGTTTTTTTCAAAAAATTTTCTAAGTATTAAGTAAACTAATAATTTTGTATGAACACTTTTTAGTCAGTTCCCAAGTGAATTGGGATAGGTCGGGACAAAAGAATATAAACTCATATGACAAAAACAGACCTTGATTTCATCTGGCACCCACTTCTGGATACTAGTGAAAATACCAGGGTCATAAAGCATCTTTTTTGACCGATCAGAAAAAGGACTATGCTGTTTTCACAGCAGCCATTTCTGAGCCACTGACTATAAAGTCAAGGCTGACAAAGGCAGATTTGACCTGGTTGACATTAGTGACAGATTCCCACGGCATGCAATCTTAACCAGGCCATCAGCAGTGACTCTAAAGCACTACCATGAACAATGATGCCTTCAGCCATCAAAAAAAAAAACATCAGTTTCAGAGATTACCTCTCAGCTACCACAATGTGATAATTTGTGTAATATTTCTCTCCTGAATCTATCTCACTTGACTAAATATGTGTTGATTTTTTTCATATGTCTATCTTGGCTACTACCTTGTGTTATATTCTGAATAAATTCTGTCTCCCATGACTGATCTATACTATAAAGGAGCTTATATGTATGTCCTTTACGGAAATCAAATCTACTGGACCAATCGATCAAACTTTCACGAAGTTTGGACCTAGATTAGGTTTTAGACTATTAATATATAGCAGAAGGGAGTATGGTGTGGCCCCTAGGGGCCAGAAATGAGTTCTATATGTGGTCATATTTTTTTCCATATGGAGCTATTTTGAAAAATTTCATTAATAAAAGTTCTAGAGAATCCAAAAGCATAACTATTGCACATGTTTTCTTTTAGAAAGGAGCAATGGTGCATTCCCTAGAGGCAAAAAATTGGGTTCGTATGTAGTAAAATATTTTAACATTGACTTTGAAAAATTTCATTCATTAATTTGTAGAGAATCAAAAAGCATTTGAGGTAGGGATATAAGGTGGCCTAAAGGGCATGGAATAGATTCTATAATAGTCAATTTGATTTAACAAGTTCAAACTTGCATCTGACCTGACCTCTATATTGCACAATATTGTTCAATATTTTGACCATAATATATAAAATCATGAGCATGCATTAGCCCTTGCATTAGTTATACTTAAGACTTTGTTGTTGACACATCTGTTATAAATTAGTGGAAGTACTTTATTCATGACATATCTATTGCAAACCATATTATTGGTACTGTGACGGAAGGAGAGTCTGAAAAACACGCACAAACACACACATATATATATTTTTTTTTTTTTTTTTAGTGAAATTGGAGTGAATTTGAACAGCGAAAGTAAATCAGAGCAATTTTGTTTACTGATGGGAAATCTGATCTAGGGCATGGGCTGTACTAATTGGAATTGGGTCATTAGCAGACAATGAAAATGGTTAAAATAATTCTTATTGATTAAAACTTGGAATAGATTTGAATCATGAAATGAAATCAGCATATTTTGTTTACTGATGTGGAAATTTGATCTAGTCTGATGTAGAAGCCCTGCTGGCTCCAGCTCTGTCTTGTCTCTCCGGTGGTTTTGGTCGAAAAGTAAACCACCCGGTCCTCCTCCGGTGAACTGAAGGAACTACCACTATCCACCACATTGTGAATTTTTGATCCGAACAGCAGTATTTCGATCCCTCAGAATGATCCAGAGGTAGGATGAATTAAATGGCTGGGCTCCACGCTGAAAGAAATTTGTGCAGAGAGGCTCTTGTCGTAAACGCAAGGGCACAAAGAAAAAAAAAAGCAACACTTTTGGTTCCTGTACAAAGAGCCCTTTAAGGCTACTGTTTTTATATCACTACCAACGAAAATGCACGAATACAAACTTGTCTTAACGAGATTCACTCATTTGTGTTGGAACGTCACAGAGAGAGAGAAAGACACAATTATGCCGGTCGAAATTCGGCTGTACTAAGGGAGATAAGTCGTGGTTCTTCGTACGCCCCCTCTGATATAGCAGTCGGCTTTTCTCAGCTTTGTTGACGAAGTTATCAGGATTTGCACGGGTTCGATCTCTGGGTATGATTCGGACTTTTTGACACATGCAACCAACTGGCCAGATCAGCAAGACCCACTAAGCCGTTTCTGCCACATTTTCCTTCGCGTTCTCTGATCTGCGGTCTCTGATCTGCGGTCCCTGATCTGCAATCTCTCTCGCTCTCTCTCTCTCTCTGCCGGGTTTGCCACTTCTCTCATGTTCCGATGCGTTCTCCAATCCTATCCGATCTGATCTTCGATCTCATCTGATCAACCCAAGCGTGCAGGCTGCTTATATAGAGAGAGGCGGAGCTAAACAGTTTTTAGGCACTGCCCACAAATTTTAGAGTCTGTTTATATTTCTGAGGTATTATGTACATTATTTACATTATTCAGACTATTGTCCTCATCTTTGTCGCCATATTTATCACAACATTTTGGCCGTTGTACGCTCAGGCCTTCTTCAGGTGGTTGGAATGTCAAACTGAACCCTTTATTTTGCTCACTGGGGTAGACTGTTCTAGTTCCACGTGCCATGTTTGATGGATGTCAGTTATCAGTTATCTCCTGTTAATTTTCCCTCTGAAAGTTCTCCACTGCCTTAACCGGGTATTGAACTCTTTTGGTCCTGTCACTGGATCTAACCAGCACCTTTATCCACTGTGCCATGTGTCCTCAAGAAAGACAAAATGAAACTGAAGAGGAAAGATCTTACAGACTGGAACAGATGAGGGTAACAAATTTAACAAGGATGACAAAATAAATCTGAAGTACAGAGATCTCAAAAGTTGTAAGAGATGAGGGCAAGAAATTAGCAGCAAAAACAAACACCTAAAAGACTTTCTCTTGACGGGTCAAGAATTTCCCAATCATGCAACAGACAATTTTTCCAATGCCACTCATCTGCTATGAATTATGATCCAATGACTGATTATACAACTAATCCCAAAGTGGAGATTGGGGCAATAACAAAACTTTGTACCTACTGTGGAGCAAAAAAAGTGGCAAAATAAACCTCCTGGTATGTGCTGCACAGGTGGTATGATCAAGTTGAAGCTTCTACAAGACAGCTTTAAATTTACTCTAGAATCATCACCATTCCCTGAATTCATGATTGTTATAGATGCTAACAAAAGGCCCTCAAGAGAGCATTCTTGATGTTTCAATACACCTCAATGCAATAAAGTAGCTGCAATAATCACAGGAGAAGTATTTGGAAAACATGATATTGTTCTTCATGGTTGTGATAATACGCTAAAAAGAATATATGAGACTCATCATTCATATGATGCTTTACAGTACCCTTTGCTTTTTGTCAATGGTGAAGATGGTTATCAATAAGAACTGTTTCATGCATAGATTTTTATGCTTTCTTCCTTATAATCTGAGAAAATTCTTTTAATCACCTTCACAGAGCCCAAAACCTGTTCTACAAGTTTGTTGTAGATATGTATAACAAGATGGAGGAAGAAAGATTAGCATACATTGTCTCACCAATCAGATTTAAGAGCATCATCATATATCCATCTACGAGATGGCATTAACAATGAAATTGGTCAACTAGTCATTCTTCCATCAAGTTTTGTTGGCATTCCAAGATATATCTATAAAAGAACTCAAGATGCAATGAAATTTGTTAGATATTATGGATGTGCAAATTTGTTTATAGCATTCACCTGTGATCCCAATTGGAAAAAAATTAATGCTGAAATTCTCCATAGACAAAAGCCTCAGAACAGATATGGCCTAATTGCAAGAGTTTTCAGGTTAAAAGTGATTAATGGGAATGATTACAGCAGGGAAAATTTTTGGTGATGTAAGATGCTACATGTATACTTTTGAGTGACAAAAACAAGTGAGGGGTTTAGGTGATTTTTGAGTGGCTGGTTT